CGGCCCTTGTCCGCTGTATGCTCGTCTTCTTGCTTCTTTCCTCTAGTTTCTGCTAGAATCTGTCTTTTCTGCAGAGACCCTCTGTCTGGCAGTGTTATTCGTCCGCCATCTTGCTCCGCCCCCCTGCAATATAGTATTTTTAATTAAGGTGTATACATTGATTTTTTTTAGACATAATGCTATTGCACACAGAATAACCTTTACATGCATTTCGAAACCAAAAAATTTCATATGACTCACTTTATTGTGATGTTTGATTCCTTGCTGTGATCTGAAACCAAACCTGCATTATCCTCCAGGTATGCCTGTAATTGATGCAACATTATAAAGATCATAAAATTTCCATTTGGAAAGGTGATGAGAAAACTAATAAACCTAAAAGATATTCAGTGATTGCTTTTTAAAAGAAAGTTGGCTGTTAAGATGATTTGGGGAGGTATATCATTCAAGTGCAAGATTTTTTAAGAAAACTCTAGCCTCTAATGATCATAAAAGATCAAGAATGTATCCCACCCACAAGCGCTTCCTGAAAACATTATTTGTATATGTTTTGCAACTGACTGGCTACTTAATTAACATATTCATTAATTGAGAATTTATTATGCAAAAGAAACAGTGTTAAACCATAAAATGAGCAGAACCAATATTAATAATATGTAACTATTTATGTAGTGAATCTAGCTAACAAAATATATAATATTATAATTATTTATTATAAACAGTAATAATCCAGGTATAAAATTTTACCTCATTCAAACGTGGGCCAAGGAGAGGAAGAAAATTATATGTTATCATTATATAATAATGGATATTACACACAATTATGAATAGGTACTGTTATTTCTTACGGTAATAGGGAAATGCAATTTAAAATATATTTACTTAATATAATTAATACCTGTAATATTCATGTTACTGAAGAAAAGAGTATGAAGAACTTGGAACTTGTTTGACATAGAGTGATCTCGAATAGAGGAGAAATAAAACTAAAAATAGAAAGTGTATAATAAGAGGGCTAAAATACAATAAAAAATACCAGTTATCACAGTTATTATAAAGTAATTAAATTCCTCTTGCATTGGTAAAAAACCTAAGCCAATTATATGATCTTAACAACAGACACAATAAAATGAAATGAACCAGGAAAGCAATACAATGAAAAGGTGGACAATTATATACCTGGCAATTACAAATGAAAACAAAGTAGCCTTGGAAATATCAATATTGTAGAATTTAAGATAAAAGCATCAAATAAGAAAATGAGTACATTTTATATGAATACAGAGTAAATGAATGATTACATATGACAATTATTAACATTTATATTCCAAATAATTTGAAAGTAACATATTTAAAGCCAAACAAATATAAAATAGAGTTGAAAAATTAGATCCATAGTGAAGAACTTGAATATGTCTTAATCCTTAACATAGAAAACAGAAAATATTAATAGGCATAGATGACTTGAATATGATAATACAATGTAGCCAAGCCTGGTGGCTCTTGCCTGTAATCTCACCTACTTGGGAAGCAGAGGGAGGAGGGTCACTTGAGGCTAAGAGTTTGAGATCAGCCCGGGCAACACAGTCATATCATGTCTCTAAAAAAAAATTTTAAGAACCTGGCAGGGTTAGGGCGGGTTTGCTTGAGTCCAGGATTTTGAGGTTACAGTGAGCTGTGATAGTTCCACTGAACTCCATCTTGGGTGACAGAGTGAGACTTCCATCTCAAAAAAATATCAATTAAAAAAAATTAGCCTGGTGTGGCGGGGCATGCCTGTAGTTGAGCTACTTGGGAGGCTGATGCAGGAGGATCACTTGAGCCCAGGAGTTTGAGGCTAGAGCTAGACCGAGTCACTGTACTCCATCAGGGTGACAAAGCAAGACTTCACCTACTATGATCTCATTTATAGATAAGGAAATTAAGTCAAGGAAGTTTCAGTAGCTGGACTAAGGTTATATAGTTTGAGATTAGTTGGGCCAAATATTGAACATAGACAAATTTTCTCCTGAGCCTTAGCTCTAACCACCTTGCTGTACTGTTAATTAATAAGTCAGACTTAAGACAAAACCATTCTTATAAAATTAATTAAAGCCAATTTGCTGAGTTTTAATAAGAGTATAAGTCTTAAAAATCACAGCTAAGCATTAATCAACTCTTGTCCCATAGCCCACTCTCTTAGAGTTGTTTATTGCGTATAGTCCCATAGCCTTTTGTCACAAAGTCCTATAACTGCCCATAATTGCTCCTATAGATAACATCTTCAATGTTAAGAAATTTAAGACCTTTCTAAGATATTTTCCAGACCTTGCATTCCAATGGGTCCACTGACACCAGCCAGTCCTGTGACTTTTTCCAAGGCACTGTCTCAGCACAAGAATGTGGTTTCTATATCCCTCCAACCTAGCCAATCAGTTACACCAATTCCCTAGCCCTCTGCCTGCCAAAAATTCCCTTAAAAACCTCAGCCCATTCTAGACTCGGCATCAGAAAGAAAAAAAATAAATAAATAAATAAATAAAAAAAAAAAAAAAAAACCTCAGCCCAGAGCTCTCTGAGAAGATAGATTTGAAGGGTTCCTCCCATCTCCTTGTTGGGCTGCCTAGAAATTATTAAACTATTTCTCGGCTGCAACTCCTGCTGTTTCAACGTAATGGTCTGTTACTGCACAGTGGGCAAATGAATCCAGTGATCCTATAACAAAGAGGTATAAATAGGCTTTGTGCCTAGATATAGATTACACACATTCTTTTAATTGTCTGTAATACATTTATACAGATAATAAATTTCAAAACATAAAAAATATGCAAGCTTACTTTTTTTGCCTCAAAGCAATAAACAAAATATACAAACAAAACTAAAAATATAAAATAGATTAAAATATGCTTTGATAAATATGTTTGGGACAAAGAGAAAATTAACACTGGTAATATAGATATTTTACAAAGAGAAACCAACAAAACTTTGAGTATAAGGCATAGATATAGTCAGAGAAAAATAAATAAACTTAAATAAATATATTACTGGATAAGATAAAATATCAGAAAGAAAAGGAAAAAAGGAAGGAAGCAAGGACACAGGGAGAGATGGAGGGCAGGAAACAAATAGTATGCATGTATATTCGTGTAGAAAAGGAAAAAAAAAGACACCACCCCAAAAGGCTGAAAGAAACAAAGAGTACTTAATGATTTGGAATATAATCACAGTGTAATATCAAATGAATAAGAAGAATGCATGTCTATAAATGTAGGATCCCAGTTGTATTTTCATAAGTAAATAATTTATACAGATTTTTAAAGAATGAGACAGGGACACACTAAATTCACTGTGGTTATATTGTTAGTAGAATTAGCAGTAATTATCATTTTTATGCTTAAAAATATATTTTAAATGTTCTACAATGAATGTCCTGTCTCATTCCATTTGTATGTAAAATGATTACTATTTGCACAATGCCAGGATCAGCACAGGCCCATAGTGATGAAGGAAAAGAAGACAAAAAATAAACTCTGAAGAAAAAAATTGCTCTGAAAGAAAAGTATAAAGGACCAGAAACTTAAAAGAAAACTGCATACATGTAATAGTATATAGCACTCTGAAAAACATAGTGTTTGTTAGACCTAAAAGGCAGAAATGAATGTATGATTCTGCTTATCCAAAAACGTACTGAAATGATTTACAGTGTTAGGAATCCGAAAGTGGTCTCCTCAAGAAGTAGGAGGTGGTAAGAAAAGGACTCAGCAGAAAAGAGGCACAGGAAAGCGTGCTGGGTTGTTGGAAGTGATCTATACATTGTTTGGAAGGGGGTAACTGGGAGTATCCAATTTTCAGTGGAAAACTTAAGAAGTCTGTTTTTCCAGCCCTTGAATCTGGTCTGGCCTTCTTACTTGCTTTGCCAATAGAGTGAGGCAGAAGTTACGTTGTGCGAGGTCTGAGCCTCAGCCCTCAAGAGGCCTTGCACCTGTCTTTTCTTTCTTAAAACCCTGCTGCTGTCATCTGAACAAACCTGGATTAGTCTTTTGGACAGGAAACTCAACCTTCCAAATAGTGGCCACCCTAGACTAGATCACCCCCAGTCAACTCCCAGCTGACCGTCGATGTCTGATTCTTGCTGAGGCCAGAACTATGCAGCAGGCCAACAGGCTGGTGAGCAACCATAAATGCTCATTGTTCCAAGTCACTGAGTTCTGTTTGTGCTGCTGTGCAGCAGTCGCTACCTATGAGCACAACATTCAATGTCTTCCAGTTTTGTTTTGCAGAATAAATGGGCTAAAGGACTTAAAAGAACATTTAAAATTGAAAAGTACTGCAAAATATAACAAACTGATCAGACAAATGTCTCTTTTACAATTTTCTCTGGGCCAAAAAGGGCACTAAGGAAAATAATCATAAAATGTTAGAGCTATGTCTGAGATGTGATATTCAGAGATGATACATGGATTTTATATCTTATGCAAAATTTCATTGAATAGTGATAGCCACCTGAATGCCGAGCTGCAAAAGACAGTTCAGTTAAATCTACAGTCAGGAGAAAAGATGAATTACCGATGCTTGCATTTAGCATAGCAAATACAACAGGTTTCTATTCTGATTTTGTCCAGTCTCCTCATTTGAGAATTAGAAACGGAGACTTCCAGAGAGACGGTATCTTGGAAAAGTCATTCAGAAAAATTAGTGGCAGATGTACATGTTTAACCTAAGTCTTTTGAGTAAGCCCATCCCAAATTTACCCTACCCATATATAGTTTTGAAACACTGCAGGCCAGGGAATGATTTCTATCTAATAATTTTTGAAAAGAATTAATTCTTGCATATTACAGATATTGCTGCTAAGATATTAGAAGTTTTATTAAGTGATCAGTCAGCTCCCCTGTGTCCTCTTATCTCTATATTTTAAGCCTATGATAGAAAAAAGATAAGCAGAGATACAGAAGGACAACCCCCACCAAATAGAATGAATTCTGTGGTCCGTTTCTGAGGACTACTGAACTAGGACTTACCATGGTCAATACATTCGTTAATAAGTCCATTCTTACTTCTGACAAATTCATCTGTAGAAGATACCGTGTCACCCCAATGTACAGGCTGCTGGTTGATTGAAGGTTTCATCCTGAAACTAGTAGAGTCCAAGGTAAGCAGCAAGGAGAGGGACTCCTAGAAAATCATCAACTCTGGGGTAGATGGAAACCAAGAAGGGGTCACAAGAAAATTCAGTCAGAAAAGTCAAACTTATTTGAGGTTAAAAAAGGTTTCTGTTTAGCAGGAGATGTCAATTATATATATATATATGTATATATTTTCCGTGGTGTCCTCAAAGGATATGGGACAGAAATTGGTCTAGTTTGGCCAAAAGACTGTGATATGTGATAGGGTGCTTGTGGTTAACAAAGTAGATTATTCTATTCAGCAAGTTAGATCTCAGAACACACCATCTCATTTTCTCTCAATATGAATAACTTTTTCCACTGGGGTGACCAGAGAAAGCCATGGCCAATCAGGCTGCCCAAAAGATGGACTCTGAAGTAAAACACTTAGATATATTATTCTCAGTCGCCTGCTTAATCATAGGTGAGAAAGATCAGGCCTTCCTGCCCTGTCATACAGTCTCGCACTGGGATAGCCTCATTCATCAAAGTTACGGATTTCAGATATGAGGATGTCAAAGGGAATTTGCAGGCCCTTTGGCAGAAGCCATTTGTATACGACACCTAGTGGATCTGCCAATAGGTGACAGATGTGTCCAGTGTCTAGTCCTGGCATCTTCTCTTGTTCTTGCATGAGCTCCGGCAGACGTCATGTACTTCTCCAACGTGATGAAGTGGAAACACTATTGACTTGAAATCAAACAGACGTGGATTTAATCCTGGCTCTGACACAAACTGTATGACTTCACTCAAGTGTGTTAATCTCTTGGAACTTCAGTTCATCATTTGCATAATATGGAAAATACCTTCACAAGGGTGTTTTAAATGTTGACAGATTAATGTAAGCAAGCAAGTAACATATATGTGTAAGAAAAATGTCTGACCCATAACGTGTGTTCAGTAATGTCAGTGCTCATTCACCTGGAAGGTGGACAGCATACTTCTACATCACTGTTTTCTTCACCTGATAGAATGATATTCAATAAATTATAACAAAACAGCTATTTTTAACATCAATATTTTCACTTGAGCTTTGGGAGGTTTTTAATTGTTATCTCCCTGAATCCTTTAATAACTATAAAATCAGTTGGATGGAGTTTCACCTTAAACTGTAATTTACTAAACCACTAAACCTCAATCATGCTATCTGTGGCCAAGGTGTTTACTATCATTGAATACTAGAGTTGCTCATTTATGAAAACATTATACATATTTTGGAACTAAATCAGAAATCATCTTATATTTTCCAGTGCAGACAAGCAACAGCAGAAAGAGATGATTTACAGAAATAAAGGGGAGAAAATTTTGTCCATTAGAAATCTCCTATATTCTTTAAGCTTTGATAAAAAGATCAGAATTCACCCTGACATATAGCTTCACATTATGATATTTTCATTCCTCAAAGTTATAGATTTCAAATATGAAAATATCACAGAGAATTTTCAGCCTCCTCAGTAGAAGCCATTTGTGCATCGTCAGTCCCATATACACTGCTGTAGAAGAACACCCTCGTCCAGCTGAAGAGACACCAGACTAGCATCCTGGCAATCTTCCGCCCAGCTGGGACCCAGAATCTTTCCAACTCTCCCACTCAATTCCCCCAAGCCCCTGCCCTATCCTTATTTAAGGGTAGCCTGGGGTACAGCTGCTCCCTTGTGATGATCATGGACCTTTGACTTTTCTTTCTTATTAACCTCTCATTAGTATAATGTTGTTGGAGACAAGGAAGGGTGATTTTGACCATAAAAATCAGGCTAGTTTAAAGATTCATTGACTCTTCTTTATCTTACTCTTTTTGGGGTCTCAATGAGTAAATCATTAATTTATTTGACTTGGAGCAAATCAATTCACTTTTCTGAGCATCAGTTTCCTCCAGTAGAAAGAGAAAAGATGGAAATCTTTAGTGTTGGACCAATTCTGAGGACTTTATAAATCATTATTATCTCCCTTTGCGGCTCCACCTTCTTCTGATGGAACCAGTCCATTTTTCCACAAGAGCAGCCACAACTTCCAGCCGTGGGCAAACAGTTGGGAGCAGACACAGGAGGGGCATTCTAAGATCCTTTCCTCTAGGCATTAGCTGGTCAGTTACATAGCAAGAAATCCCGACTGCCACATTTTCGGAGCCCAGATGGTCCTCCCTTTCATACTTCTGAACCTCCCTTTGGTAATTTCAGACTCCACTCTAAAATTCTGTGTTTTGGTTACACTTCCATTTGCACATAGGTTGCCCACTATCCTTTTTGTCCCAAGCTTTTTACTCTGAGTTGTGCATGCAAACTGTATTACAAGCTCTGAGTGCATTTCTCAGGAACAGCTGTTCTGAGTCAAGGTTGTTTCTGTTCCACAGCAATGATTTAGCTCAGACTAACTTTTCTCCCCAGTTACAGGCTCGTTGCAGTCATCCTGTGGGACCTGCATCTGGCAGGGGAGAGTGTGTGGGCACGGCAAGGAGAGGATATGGAACAAGCTGGCAGCCCCTGAATGACAGGTCTCCCCATGAGAGCCTTCTCCAGCTGGAGCCAGCCAAGCCTAGCCCGTTTTCTGACAGATGTTCCTTGTTCCTGCTTCAGCCATGTGGTTCCTGACATGCTGTTTGAAAAGACCTGTAAGGTAGCTCTGTGGCCTCATCCTCCAGGGGTCTCCAGGGGAGCCAGCTTTCTTGGTGACTACATAATTCATGGCATCCCCCTGCTTAAAAGCTCTCAGAAGCTCCCTATAACTGAAAGAATAATATGTAAACTTTTTAGCATGACCCACAAAGCCAGTTTTCTCCTTTGTAAAATGGAGTCAACAGTAACTACTTTGCAGGGTTGCTTTGAAAATTAAATAATCTACTAATACATCTAAGTCATTATATCGTAAATGGGGGCACTCAAGAATTACCAGTTTTTTCCCCTTCCTTCTTCCCAGTCTGGTCCTAGCCTATGTTATAGGCTTCTCTCCTTTTACTCTCATTCTTCATTTCAGTTATTCAAATTACTTGCATTCTCCAAACATTTTTCAACATTCATATTCAGCCTGTCTTAAACCTGATGCTCCCCTTTTCTTCTTGGGGAAAAAACCCTTACACCCCAGCACTTTAGAGAAACCCTCCCTCACACTCTCAAAGTATAGGTATTCCTTCTCCCCCTTCCCTCCAGGGCACCATTTGGCGTTATACAGTGCCCTGACTGTACTTGGCATTAATGTAATGATGATAACAGCTATCATTCCTTAAGTGCCTGGTATATATCAGAAGCTGTGTTTTTCACTTTACAAACATTAGCCTTACTCTTCAAAACTAATCCAACAGTTGTTGACATTTAGCCTCCATTTTAGATAAGGAAAATGAAGTTGAAAGGGGATCATGTTGCTAAACAGCCTAGTTTCACTTCTGTCTTATTAACTAGACTGTACTTCTTAAATAACTGTGCCCTCCATACATGACTGCTCATCAAAGACACGCTTAACTCAGAAATGTCTCCCCTTTGCTCCTTGATTCTTTTCCCACCTGCATCATGGTCTTCTCTTTTCCTTAAAGGACACATTTATTTAACCCAGTTGTATTTAACTATATCCCACCAAAGAATTACAGAGGAACTTGATAGATCATTCAAATGAAACTTTTCTTGTATTACAGATGTAGATACAGCCTCTGAGACATTCAAACCTTTCCTGAGGTCAAAAGTGAGGTAGTGAGGGAACTGGAACCCCAATGACATGTACTTTGTTCTCAAGCTGGTGTTCATTGCACAACTCTGTGTAGTAGGTCTGGGGGAATGACTCATTTTCAAATCTGTAAAAGCTGGGGAACAATAGAGAGGCTTCAAAACCCAACAAAACCACCACTTCCTCTATGAATCGATCTATTGAGATGTGATCTAAGTCAAAATGGCCAATTGTATTTTGAATCTTGGTAAATATTGGTATCTTCCCCAAAATTAGAAGAAGGTGTAAACTATATATCTGTTCTGTCCATAAGCTCAACAGAGTGGTATGCAATGAAAGCAAGTTTCAGATCAAATACTACCGCCAAAGGGATGTTTATTAGCTAAGCAGGGATATTACTCTCTTACAATCAATTCTTGTGCGCTTGTTGAAATCCTGACTCTGTCAAGCACAGAATCTTGACATGAAGCCTCTGCAGGAAAGACTCAGCCTGCGACAAATGCAGCAAATATTTTGACGGCAAAATCAACTATTATTCTTGTAAGACTCAGTGGCAGAATCTTTTGTTAATGGGGGAAACAAATGGAATTCTTGGTCTAGGGCACCAGTGTGAGGGGTTCAAGTCCCTGGTTCACCAAATACTTATTCACCAATCACACAAGGGTGGATGTAAGAGGATAATTTGTTATAGCCAAATAGCCAAACATATATTTTAAACACTGTAATTTTGCACTAAGAAAAGTTATTTCTACCATATATTATATAATTGGCAAATCCCTTTGGGCATATTCCAATACCAATATTTGAAATGCATGCCTCTAGAATATGAAACTTTCTGGGTAGAAGTAACTCACTGCAGCTAGGACCTAAATTCTTCAGTAGAAGTCCTTGGGTACTAACAAACCCTCCTAAAGTATAGATTAAATCAGTTTACACACACGAGTTACCTTGTCTATAGACAAGTAAATCGCAGATGATTTACCACTACCGCCTTTGTGGTCCTGCTGCAAGCTTTGTGCCTCTTTTGTTAGAAATTTCAGTGCATGGAGTAGATGTTCTAGGTCATAAATCTGCTTCTGCCACCAAAAATGAGCTATTTCTATCTTCCCTAGTAACCATCTGGCGTGGTAGCTGGCATAAAGTGAGCAAGCAGTAAATGCACATGGGTCTTTGAATAAATGACTAAACTAATGAAAAAATTAGAATAAGCAGACTTAGGAATGACCACTTTGGTCTGCTTCCTCCACTGTGGTCATTCTGACTACAAACAAAGCAAAAATGTGAGGGAAGGAACTCTTCTCTCTTATATCACAAGCCATGCCACAGAACTGGGTGAGAAAAGCTAAAGTTCTCTGTAAAGTTAGATATGCTTATAT